GCAGGAATATCAAATGACACAGCCCTTCTGGAAAATAATTTGGCAATTTATTATAAAACTAAATATGCAATTACCATGCAGCCAGGGAATTCCATTCTAGTGTATTTATCCCAGAAAAATTAAAAGTTGTGTTCATACCCAAACCTATGTGTGAATATTCATAACTGCTTTTTTGGTAATAGTCAAAAACTGGAATACCCCAGATGGTCTTCAGTGGACGAATGATTAACCAAACTGTGGTACATATATTCTGTGGAATATTAGTCAGCAATACAAAGGAACAAACTTGATAAATGCGACAACTTGGATGCATGTCCAGGGGACTCTGCTAAAAGAAAAGAGCCAGGCTGTAGGCACACGGGCTTCAGAAGTTGTGGCACATGGGCTCAGTAATTGTGGTGCATGGGCTTAGTTGCCCCATGGCATGTGAGATCTTCCCAGATCAGGAATGGAGTCCGTGTCCCCTGCAATGGCAGGCAGATTCTTAACCACTGCGCCACCAGGGAAGCCACTGTAATGAGAAGCCTGTGCACCATATGAAGAGTAGCCCCTGCTCGCCGCAACTAGAGAAAGCCCGCACCCAGCAATGAAGACCCAATGCAGCCAAAAATAAATAAATAAATAAATAAATTTTTTTTTAAAAAAGAAAAGAGCCTATCCCAAAAGGTTATTTACTATATTGCTCAATTTATATACCATTTTTGAAATGAGAAAATTTTAGAAATGGAAAACAGACTAGTGGTTGCCAGTGGTTAGGGGCAGGGAGGGACAGAGGTGGGAGGGGCATATGGGTGTGGTTATGAAAGGGCAACAGGAGGGACTTTTGTGGTGTTGGAAGTGTTCAGTATCTTGGCTGTGATGGCAGATACTTGAACCTATTAATAAAATCTATAGAACACACGCACACTGAAATGAGTACAGGTAAAGTTGGAAAATCTGAATAAAATCAGTGGATTGTATTAACATCAATACCTTGGTTGTGACAGTTTTCTGTAGTTTTACAAAATGTTACCATTGGGGGAAACTGGGCAAATTATACAAGGGATCTTTCTGTATTATTTCTTACAACTGCATGTGAATCTATAATTATCTCATAAAATTTTCAATTGATAAAGGGAAAGAATAAATGAGAGGTCACGAGGGTATAGCCCTCATGAATGGGATTTGTCTTCTTTTAAAAGAGATGACACAGAGCTCTCTCACCCTTTCTACCAAGTGAGAATACAGTGAGAAGTCTGCAACCTGGAAGAGGGTCCTCACCAAACCATGCTGGCACTCTGACCTCAGGCTTCCAACTCCCAGAACCGTGAGAAATAAATCTCGGTTGTTTATAAGTCACCCCATCCATGGCACGTTGTTATAGCAGCCCAAATGGCCATGCCTCCTCTCAGAGCCAGCTGGACAGCTTCCATCTCCTTCCCTAAGTCTAACAAGAATTCTGGAGAAAAATGGCTCATCTTCTTTGCTGTCAGTTTCCTCTTGCTGTCCCTCTATTGAGTCTTCTTCTTGGCACTTGGAAACTGTAAGAATCTTCTCCCTGTCCCTCCACTCTGCAGGAGTTAAGGTTCCTTCTGGCAATGAGCTAAGCCACCTGGACTCAATTCCTCCAGAATTTCTACTAAAGATTGGAAAAATGATTGGATATGAGATAATACAATAAAATAATGATTGGACTAGAAGAGAATAGATGTGTATAGCGATGAAGAGAGAGAGGGGGGGACAGAGACAGAGACATTGATTTGTGAGCGTAGTACTATCTTGAATCATTGATTCGTAATGAGTTTCTATAGGTGGTGTCAGTTCATGTGTATCTTTATCATAAACCCCAATTTCGGATTGAGTCTCAGTTCCTTGAAACCCATGGCAGTACAGTGTTTTCTTTTCTTTTCTTTGTTTTAATTTTTATTGGAGTATAGTTGATTTACAATGTTGTGTTAGTTTCAGGTGTACAACAAAGTGAATCAGTTATACACATACATATATCCACTCTTTTTTAGATTCTTTTCCCATATAGGTCATTACAGAGTACTGAGTAGAGTTCCCTGTGCTATACAGTAGGTCCTTATTAGTTATCTGTTTTATATATAGTAGCATGTATATGTCAGTCCCAATCTCCCAATTTATCCATCCCCCCACCTTGCCCTGTGGTAACCATAAGTTTGTTTTCTACATCTGTGACTCTATTTCTGTTAAATGAGTCCATTTGTACCATATTTTTAGATTCTGTGTATAAGCGATATCATGTTTGTCTTTCTCTGTCTGACTTACTTCACTCAGTATGACAATCTCTAGGTCCATCCATGTTGCCACAAATGGCATTATTTTGTTCTTTTATATGGCTGAGTAATATTCCATTGTATATATCTCTCCCCCTCTTACCCCGTGGTTACCATAAGTTTGTTTTCTACATCTGTAACTCTATTTCTATTTTGTAGATAAGTTCATTTGTACCCTTTTTTTTAGATACCACATATAAGTGATATATGATATTTGTCTTTCTCTGACTTACTTCACTCAGTATGACAATCTCTAGGTCCATCCATGCTGCTGCAAATGGCATTATTTTGTTCTTTTTTATTTTCATTTATTTTATTTATTTATTTTTTTGTGGTATGCGGGCCTCTCACTGTTGTGGCCTCTCCCGTTGCGGAGCACATGCTCCAGACGTGCAGGCTCAGCGGCCATGGCTCACGGGCCCAGCTGCTCCACAGCATGTGGGATCCTCCCAGACCGGGGCACGAACCCGTGTCCCCTGCATTGGCAGGCGGGCTCTCAACCACTGTGCCACCAGGGAAGCCCTGTTCTTTTTTAATACAGTGTTTTCTTAATGCTTCCACTCAAAATAGAAAGAACAAGCAGTGTTTGAGCTGGGAAATTTTCTTCAAAATCCATGTTGGGGCTCTTGGTTCTGGCCTTTCCCTAATCCATTGAGATTCTCTTTCATTCCTTGCTAAGGGATGCATCATTAAAGTAATCCTCTCAACAAACTCATGGAAAACAGGACATTTGGAAAGAGCACCCTGGTTTCTGATGTTACAAGTGTTTGTTTTGTAAACAATAAAATAATGTAATGCTCCCATAATTATGCTTAAGATAAATGTGCTTTCAATTCTAAGATGCTATAGAAGGTTCTCTATATCATGTTTAAGTTATTCATCGATTCAACAAAGAAGCAGTAGGTGCTTGATCCACAGCTACTAAGGGCCGGGAATTTCCCTGGGAATTTTATCTGGGGAAACAAACACAAAAAAATAAATGGCCATTGTCCTTGCTCAGAGGAAGTTGAGAAGAAACCAGTAAGGGCAACAAAGGTGCTACTCTGGAGGGCACATGGAGACAACCGTGGTCAGTTCTATCTGAAAATGGTGGTGGCCTTCAAAGGTTTCCAAAAGATGACTATTGAGTCAAGTCCTAGAAAATGGGTCCACAGATAGTGGGGATAGGGTGCCGATCCAGGGTGACAGCATCCAGGCGTGGAGCAGCACAATGTATTCTGGGAAATGGGAACTGAAAGCAACTCTGTAAATTCCTCAGTAGAGGAATGAAGAACACGGACAGAAATGTCAAAGACAGACAGGCAAGTGAGAGTGTAGAAAACCTCGGGGACCATTTTACGGCACTTGGGCTTTATCTTTTAGGCACATTTTAACATTGAAAACATATTTCAGGAAGACTATTCCAGCAGCAATTTTAAGGGTAGTGAAGGAGTGGAGGTGAGAATGTGTGAGGAAACCATCGCACTGCTCCAGGGCACAGGTGATGGGGTGCATTGAACATAAGGAGTCTTTATGGTTAGAGAATTAAGTACAGATGTATTTGGCTCTGCCGAGTTGTATTCTGATGATTTTAACGTTTTTGCACGTATGGTCTGGCTGGTGGCAGTCATAACAGGCTCCCCCATGTGGCATGTGCAACGACTTGTGGTAGATTCGGGGCTGGGATTGGTAATCACACTATTGAAATGTCTTCCCTCCCCTCTTAATTATAATCATTTTCCTTCCTGCAAGAGCGTTACAGCAAATTTGTATGATCTCAGTTATTTCACTGGAGGTTTCTCAAGTGGAATAAAATAATTTGCTTTAAGATTTTTTCCTCTGCTTTATCCAGATCTTATATCATTAAGACTTTAATGTTTAAAATAAAATGTACCAGGGACACATTCTACATTTTCCTGCCAGCGGAACATGCCTTTCCTAGTGTTCTTCAGTGTCTCGTTATAAGAGTTCAATGCTCGCTCTAGACTTTTATTTTTAAGACACATGAAAAATTTGTAACCTCTTATCTACTTATTGGTTGATTCTCCTTCATAAGCCGTTTCTCACCTGCCTGCCTATTCATTGACAAATTGAAATCTGAACTGGAACATGTAAAAGGATGTTCCAACCTCTCTACTTCCCCAACATCTTTGTCAGATGGGCCCAGGCTTCTGGTGATTCACAGTGAAGGAAGCACCGCACCATTTTTAGTGACCCGGTCTCTCCATTAGGGTGTACTTGAATGCGTCCTGCCTGGAGGATCTAGCGCAGACAGTAGTCATTAAGGACACTAGGGGGTTGCTCACAAACCCTCTAAGATAATTTTTTTAAACTACGTGTCTTTTGTACCTTTTAAATCGACATAAGCAAATGTGAAACTTTACTGGGCACTCAGTATCCACTGGCAAGGGTATCAAATGAGCCCTCAGGCAAGGGTACATTTAAAAAGTGGCTTGACGTTTGATGCAACTGGTATATTGAATGAGCTGGACTCCACAGGTAAGGGCAGAAGCCAGTTTTATTCTATCCCTTGCCACCTACAGAAATGCAGTCTTTCCAGTCCTCTGATGAAATGTGATGGATGAGGCCTTGAGCGGGCCCTGTAACTCTTGCGGTCATTCAGAGAATAAAATTCCTCTGGTCACTTTCAGTCATAAGAACAGTGACTGGTCACTGAATAGAGTTAGTTCCCTTATCAAAATGTCTAGTCCAGTGTCACAATCACATAAGTCCATACCCTCAATCAATTTAAAATGTCTCCCTTCCCCCAGTTTGAGCCATTTTTAGGCCTAGAATCCTACAGTATGCAGAGGGGATACTGTCCCCTCATTCTGCATATGACCGTTTTCCACGACTGATTCTTTACTTCATGGGTTTCTCACAAATAACAACCCTGAGGCTTCCAAGGGCTACTCCCTTTAGCCAGCTGCTAGTGAAGACCTTTCAGCTTCCACACACAACTGGACGTGACCAGCTCCTTTCTCTGAGGCTGCCCTTATCTCCAGCAGGAAACCCACACCAATGAAGCCCTTTTACAAATGACCTAACCCAGTTCCCATGTGGGGTCCATTTCTGACCCATAGGACACAAGGAGATGTGTCCATTTTTTAAATAAAATTATGTTATCATATATATAATTTTATATATAAATATATAAAATTATATATTTTAAATATATAAATCATTTCATTTGTAGAAAATTCATTAAATCTCATTGGCAAAGCCAGTCCTCTCTGTCAGACAGATCAGCCAAATCAGATTTGCTTTCTGTCAAGAAAAAGTACGATTTCATTTTGCAAATCAAATAAATGTATTAACATGCTTTCCCACGGCCACCTTCTCACTCCTAAGTTCTATTAGTGAGAGTGCAAGCATACAAAAAGCCTTAATCCCTCAGTTGGATGAAATGAAGCACCACTGACTTCACCATTTCCACTGATGTTCTCTTTGCTTTGCTCTCACTGGCTCTCTCTCCGGAGTGATGTATTTGACAACTTTCAGGGAATGGAAGCAATGAGGTGGTTAGGTTAAAGCTGCCCCATTACTTCTGCCCCTTCACTGTACAGAAAATGGGAATTCACAACATGTCATCACCTGTCAAAACACCTTTTTTCCAATGCCAAGTTTTCCCCTGAATAGAAATACAGGGAGAAGCACAAAGCCCCATCATGGATTTATGGTGCCTCGATCAAGGTGGCTTCACTGACATCAAATAGTTTGAACCACGTCTTGCTTTGGTGGGCCCATAGTGAGATTGGGGTTGGGTGAGAGATATGACTTGTGAAAATTGAAAGAAGGGTGATTATGAAAGAGGAACTGAGAATGTAGGCTCAGCATGACACTTCAACCCCAGGCATTCTCTTAGGCAGTGGAGCTTTAGAGAAGAATGTGTTTGGAAATAGAAGATCTGAGATTGGTTCCCATGAAACCACCTGAGCGTGCCCTCAGAAGGTCTTTGCTTGTCCCCAGGGGAACGTGCACCTGTTCAGAGACTGTCAGTCTCGCCTTGTGCTCTAGAATGTGTCAATACGTGGCCCCCATGGTTGTTGGCCTGGTGGGCTCTGCCTACGTGGAGTCAGAATGAGTTTCACCATGATATCCTCTTCTCAGAGAGCATGGACCTTGAAATCATTGTTCAGTAAGTGTTTTTATTCTTAGTTGTATTTGAAAAATAACACCTAGATCAGAACTTGAATTTTCATACTTTTGATAACTGCACCAGAAAGCTTGTTTCCCCCATTCAATTGACTTTGAAGACTGGTGAAAATCCTCTGGGAATGGAGGCAGAAATATGTCTTAAGACCTAAGTATTCTTCACCTGGAAAGCTCCAGAGTGACTCAAACTACAACAGTTTCCATAAATTCTCTAACTTTAATTCCTATTATCCAGATATGTGACTTTTGAATCTGCTTTAAATGTTTGGTTTGTCCCTTATTAGCATTTTCTATTACTACTAATATTTTTTAAACATCTTTATTGGAGTATAATTGCTCTACAGTGGTGTGTTAGTTTCTGTATTAATATTGTTATTATTAATTTTTTGAACTCATGAGATCAGTCTGTTAGAAATAGTATTAATAAATAGAAATTGCCTTTCCGTAAAATATATAGCTCAAAGGCTTATAATTTGGTCTGAATATTCATACATTGGCAATAGTTTGAATCCCAGTTTCTCATTCATCTCAGAATCTACAAGCTACCACTTGCCTCTCTAAAATCTTTGCAAGCAACCTGTTCATTGCAATCTGAAATAGCAGTAACAAAATACAGACTTGCAGTACGTATTCAACTGGAAGAAGTCTGATGCCATGTCAGAATTGGTCTCTTCAACAACTGAGGGAGCAAAATAATGTAACAGTAAATTAGCTGGCATGCTAGTACAAAGTATTCTTTTCATACATACTTTGGTCATTGTAGTGTTCTTTCTTTCACCCAGCTAAAAACTTAATGACTATCATGTAAAAAGATGAGAACGATAAAAAAAAAGTGAACAGGCTATGGACCTCAATTCCATTTAAAATAAAAAAGAAAATATGAAACTCTTAAGAATTTAAGCAGTGGAGTGGAAAAAAACCCACGCCTCCCAACAAAAGAACAATCAAAATTGTATCTCATTTGAAATATGTACCCATGGTAAATATGTAAGGATCTGAAAAATGCTGCATTACAGTATTACTTGGCTGCTTTGTGGTTGTTTTTTTTGGTTTTTTTTTGGGGTTTTTTTTTTTGCCGTATGCGGGCCTCTCAGTGTTGTGGCTTCTCCCATTGCGGAGCACAGGCTCTGGACACGCAGGCTCAGCAGCCATGGCTCACGGGCCCAGCCACTCCGCGGCCTGTGGGATCTTCCCGGACCGGGGCACGAACCCGCGTCCCCTGCATCAGCAGGCGGACTCTCAACCACTGCACCACCAGGGAAGCCCTGCTTTGTGTTCTTTTGATGCTGCCTCTGGCTCTTCTAACTGAATTGTGTTTATTTTAAAGATTAAGTATAACTTCTTATATGAAAAAGAACACATCTGCTTCTTGGAAGAGTGGACCAGCTCTGGGCACCAGAAAATCTATACTACCTTCATCCTTGTCATCCTCTTCCTCCTCCCTCTTATGGTGATGCTTATCCTGTACAGTAAGATCGGCTATGAACTTTGGATAAAGAAAAGAGTGGGGGATGGCTCAGTTTCTATTATTTTCTGTAGTAATAGAAAATGCTAATAAGGGGCAAACCAAACATTCAAACTATTCATGGAAAAGAAATGTCAAAAATTGCTAGGTCTGTTTAATGGAACATTCACCTCTGTTTAAAATATTTTTAGTTTGATATATATACACAAATATGTATAAAATAGATAACTAATAAGAACCTGCTGTATTTATATATATATATATATATATATATATATATATATATATATATAT